TCTGGTCTCTGATCTTTCTCTGGTCTTTCTCTGGTCTTTGGTCTTTCTCTGGTCTCTATCTGGTCTTTCTCTGGCCTCTCTCTGGCCTCTCTCTGGCCTCTCTCTGGTCTTTCTCTGGTCTTGCTCTGGTCTCTCTCTGGTCTCTCTCTGGCCTCTCTCTGGCCTCTCTCTGGTGTCTCTCTGGTCTCTCTCTAGCCTCTCTCTGGTCTCTCTCTGGTCTTTCTCTGGTCTTTCTCTGGTCTCTCTCTGGTCTCTCTCTGGCCTCTCTCTGGTCTTTCTCTGGTCTTTCTCTGGTCTCTCTCTGGTCTTTCTCTGGTCTCTTTCTGGTCTCTCTCTGGCCTCTCTCTGGTCTCTTTCTGGTCTTTCTCTGGTCTCTCTCTGGTCTCCCTCTGGCCTCTCTCTGGCCTCTCTGCTCTCTCTCTCTCTGGTCTCTCTCTCTGTCTGCTCTCTCTCTGGTCTATCTAGGCTCTCTCTCTGGCCTCTCTCCGCTCTCTCTCTGCTCTATCTCTCTGCTCTCTCTCTGCTCTCACTCTCTGCTCTCTCTCTCTGGCCTCTCTCTGCTCTCTCTCTCGCTCTCTATCTTGGGCATTATTTGCTTGCCTACTCTCTTTTTTTTCTCTCTCCTTTTTCTCTCTCTCTGTCTCTCTCTATCACCAAATTGAGGCCTATGTCACATCTTTAGATTATCTTCCAACCAAAATGCTTCAGTTTTGTTCGGAAAGTGACCTACCCCACCTCTAACTTTTCTCAACATGAGCCAAAACATTTAAATACATGTACTGTATATTACTCTACTGTAATCTCATGGTTTGACCATCGTACAACCCATTTTTCCCCATGTTTTTACGACCATAGCAACTTCTCTGAACTTCTCTGTCCCGCAATAACATGTCATAGGTTCTGCACGTAGCTCGGTTAAATAAATTGCCGGATAATTAGCAAAATGGCATGGGATAGGATATATAGTCTGTAAACAAAGTCCGAGCCCCCGTGTCCGCCCGAGTTACTACGGCGACACAGCCTTGGCCTGTTCCTTGTAAACAGGCCGCAGTATTTCATGGCTCACTCCCCGTATTAAAAAATCTGCTTGTCATTGTGCGCAGGTCACCGTAAAACCTCCGCCGAGTCCGTCCACCTCCGTCCCCTACAACCTTTACGTATTCACTGGAAATCAATCGCGGTCTGATTAGTCTGGGAAAACGGGGGTGAGGGGAGGGGGCGGCCATTATTACCAATAAAGTGAATTACGTCCTCTCGTTTTCAATTTTCTGTCTGGAAAAAAGCTGATCTAAAGATGTGATAGAGGCCAAAAATACACAGATGTGAATTGTATTACACATGGTCCTCTCTCTCCCCGGTCGCTCTATGGTCTCTCTCTTTGGACTCTCTCTCTGGTCTTGCGCTGGTCTCTGTCTGGTCTCTCTCTCTGGACTTCTGGTCTCTCTCACTGGACTCTCTCTCGGATATCTCTGGTCTCTCTCCCTTTTCTCTCTCTCTCTGTTCCCTCTCTCTGGTCTCTCTCACTTTCTCGGTTTCTCTCTCTAGCGTTTAGACTCTCCCTTTTGTGTCTCTCACTCTAGACATTCTCTCTGGTCTGTCTCTAGACTCTCTCTGGTCTCCCTCAACCTCTGCTCTCTCTCTCTCTGCTCTCTCTCTGATCTCTCTCTCGCTGCTCTCTCTCTTTGGTCTCTCTCTCTAGACTCTCTCTCCGGTCCCTTTTCACTAGAAATCAATCGCCTTCTGATTAGTCCGGGCCAATGGGGGGACCCGGCCATTATCACCAATAAAGTGAATTACATCAATGTCCTGTATACACAAATACACACACACACACACACACACACACACACACACACTCACACACACACACACGCACACGCACACGCACACGCACACGCACACGCACACACACACACAGAGCTGACCACCCCGTCCCGATCCAGTCATCAGTGGAATGGCTCCTGATTTATAAATAAGATAATTACTTCCCTGAGCCGCTCCTGGCTTCCCAAGACTTTTTTATCGCTTAGTCAAACATCCACCTTCCATTTTTTAAATTGCATATCGAGTGCGCGCACGCCGGGGTCCGTGCGCAGAGGTGACTGTTTCGGCGTCACCTTTTCCCGAGGTAAGTGCGCCCGAGCCGAAAAACGCCGCCATTTAATCGTCAAAAGACACCAATCACGCCAGCGACAATCTGAGCTGACACGGCGACTTTGGGATTTTCCATTTCTTGTTATTGTTTTGCAAATGTTCGAACAGATTTGCGGCTTTTGACAGTCGATATCATTTGCCAGTTTAAAAGGGAAGGTGGTTTTATGCATGATTATTGCTTGAGTGTTGTCACAAAATGGCTTTGGCTTGTCATCGGGGAAAGAGAAGGTGCAATTTGTGTATTTTTATCTCCCCCTTTTCGCACCGAGCTGCAGTTTGCGCAGGTGATAATTTAGTATGGGTGTTGACTCAAGCGCCTACCCTCATTCTCTCCCGTGAATATATATCCCGATATGTGTGTGTGTGTGTGTGTGTGTGTGTGTACATGTGTCAAATGCGTTTTTCCATAAGTGCGTTGACGTAGTTGTCATAGTGTGATTTTGTTTCTTGTCTTTTTCTTTTGAATTTTCTTGTCTGTTCCGTGGATTGCTTGCGTCACACTCTTGTCTTGTTTTTCAAATTCTTCTTTTACAGCCTGGACTTTTTTCATTTATTTTAGTTTTGTTTATAAAATCTTGTATTTTTGCACTTTGAGAATAATGCCGATATCTCAATTCCTGAGATGAACCGACACCAATGGAAGGGACTGAAAATACAGAATCACAGCTTGTAACAAACTTAGACTGTAGATACATGCTAACCTGCTACCTCGATGAATCCCAATAGGGAAGTGCTCATAGGTGAAGTTTGGCTCCAACTCGCTCTGGCTCTTATTGACATACATGGAAAAGTAAACTCCTGCAGACTCACTCCTGGCTGGTGGGGGTGTACCCGGAAAGAGAATTACCCAAAGCTTTTGTATGGAGTCTTCTTTCCTCTCAAAAACCTCCTTACAGGATGGTCCAAAAGTGGCTCTTGGTCCAAAGCTATGCTCCAGATTCTGTCGATGTTGAGGGGAATATATATTTTTGGACAAGTCTAGTTTAGCCGCTGTGGACTTTTGAATGCACTTGTTAAATCAATGGGGCTAGTGCAGCTAACACATGCGCAAATGTATTTTTCCACATTGACCTGCCCCGCGGCCATTTTGTAAAAGCCACAGAAGCCAAAAGTGATGCCACATTAGTTTGAACGGCGGAGATAGACGTGACTTTTTTTGTTAATATTCACAGTCTATGAATAGCACAAGAAGAACCAGACCGTGGCCACTCTCAGTAACAAAAAGTGGAGTGTTGACTTTTTAGGTAAAGGCAAGTTGTGAAGAGCTTAGAAAGTCTAAAAAAGGCATTCATAGTCAATAGTTTATACAGTTAAAAATCCTTTCTTTTCTCATGCCTGTAATTTAAAATACGCACCATCTTCAGGATGCAAAAATAATGCTCCAGGGCCGCTCCTGATTGGCTTTTTGTAACTCAGTCATTAGAACAGAAATTGCATACATTTTGGTCCCACAATCCCACTCAAAAAGCCATTCTTCCGGCTTTTTTCGGCTTCTTCCGCATTAATGCTACGGTGACGTCACACTCTCCTACTGTCCTAATATTCAGTCTACGGTCACTAAATGAGCTGAATCGTTCAATATAAGAGAGAATATCTATTTCAGTTGAGCAGAGTTTGTCATCTGCTGCTCGCTGGCCTCAGTTTGTCATTTCCTGCCAACCAGGAAACGGTCCAGATGCAGAGATTGGACGGCGTCTAAAGAAACTCTGGGAAACATTCAACAAACTGCTTCAAGCTCTTTGTTCACGGAAAAATACATCTTAAGTGCTTTCTTTTATGTCAGGAACTGTTAAAATAGACTTGGCATTGGGGGTGAGCTGAAAAAATGCAAGATATTTGGATAAATATTAATGATTTATATATTTTGTGTGTCCCCAGATAACAGGTCATACGTGTGCTGTGATGTCACAGTATGATGTCATTGTACCGCTATGACGTCATACCTTTCCAGGGATCAGTTAGATCTACCTTTAAAACAAAAGTATTGTCCATCAATTAGTTTTGGTAATTCTTCAGGTGAAGTTACTTTACAATCACATATCCGGGTTTGCAGCTCCCTCTGGTGGCAGCAGAGGGAGTTACAGGTGGGAACAATATTTTACCCTTCACACTCGTTTCACTCTATAATTTTGACTTGCAACATTTTTTCACATTATGAAACACGAAATCACAAAACAGTCGCATTATATGTATTTACAATCATAAATTATGCATAATATAGTACTTCTTTAACTCCTCCAGCATTTCCTGGGTCTCCTCCGGGGTCTCCTCCTGGTCCAGAACTGGTTTCTCTCGACACGCTGGAGAGACTATGTTTCTCTCTGGTCTGGGAACGTCTTGGGGTCGCCCTGGACGAGCCGAAGGAAGTGTGTGGAGAGGGAAGTCTGGGCTCTCTGCTTAGACTGCTGCCCCCGCGACGAAGCGGAAGAACACGGATATACAGATAGATGGATGGATGTTCACTCCTTGAAGAAAGCAATGTATTTTGGTTGTCTTTTTCAGATTCTCTAAGATGAAGGAATACTAATAACTCAACTTTCTTTTTTTCTTTTTTTACCCCAAATTTGTTTTAATGCCGTTTAATGTAAAAGTGCCTAAAATCCTGTGTTATTCCCCAAAGAGGTATATTTCAGTTCCAAGTTTCAAGTAGACTGAGAAAGTAAACTACCAAATGGTTAAGGAAACAGTTAAAAGGTTGACGATAAATTTCTAAAACAAAATATTTCCTTCTGGTTTATCCATGGACATTTTCAGGCCGTCAAATGTTGTTAATAATTGATTTTTATTGTTGTCATAATTCTTGGGCTCCATCGTCTCCCTCAGCGCTGCCTCTCCCTCTGCCTCCCTCATGTGCTCGGGTTCACCCACCACCCGCACCTCTCTGCACCAGGCTCCAGGGCTCGTGCACCTGTGGGCCTCCTGCAGCCGGAGTGTGTATAGTCACCTGGTGCCACACACACCATCGCCCCAGGACCAATGGAAACGTGCCGATGGTTCCATGTAATTAAAGGGGAGGCGTTGTGCTTTTCTCAGCTTGGGTTGTGTCTCTCTCATGGCGGCCTCTTTCAATAATAACAAAAATAACAATAATAATTCATATATTTAAAGCACATACAGCACATTTTTGTATTCATTCAATCATTTTATTTCGGGGGAAGGTGGCATGAGATCTTTTACATATATATCTAAAACAAAATAATACAAATGAATTAAAACAAAAACAAGCAACAAAGACACTCAAAGATAACCACATGAAAAGGTTTTTGAAAAAGACAAAATAAAAATACTTAAGTCTTGTAAATATTGTATTGTATGGTGTCTTGATTGATGTTGTTAACGTATTTTAATGTTTTTTTTAAAGATCACGGCCAGAGGGACTACGGATGAGAAATATCCTCCTTGGCTTTTTCGGACTTTTTTAACTCACGTTTAATCTTGTGTTTTTTATTCATTTGCATTGTCCGCTTTGAAATAAACTAAAATGAAACTGAAACGGAAAAAATAAATTGACCTTAAAGAATGTAAAAGACAGATTAATGATTTTGGACCATCCTGTACAGAAGTTTTCGAGAGGTAAGAAGATGCTATATGTTAGCATTGGCTAATTCTTATTCCGGGTCCGCCCCTAGCGGCCCGGGGTGGTATTGCAAGCATGTCAGCGCACGTCATTTTGGCCACTTTTGAGCTGGGACCCTCCCCCACTGGTTTGAACTGATTTACTGATCTGCTGTTGGCAAATCCACAACTGTGTAAAGTCCCCCGAGACGACTGTTGTTGTGATTCAGAGCTGTCCGTCACTGCCTCACCCGCTGGTTTCATTTGGATTGATTTTTGCGTTTGTGTGTGTGTTTTTTGTCATTTCTCCGGTGCTTTGTTGGTTTTGAACAGAAAAAGAACGTAGGAGTCACAATGTGAAGCTTTGGGCAAATAAATGTTTTCTTTGTTTCACTTTTGTGTCTGAAAAAGATGTGACAGGGGCAGAAACACGTAAGAAAAGTGTTTTGAATATTAACAGCTATAGAAACATGGATTTTTGCTTACTTACTTTATTATGCTAAAGTCAGAGAATTTTTTGTACCTAATTCTTGTTTTTTTAATAATGCTAAAGTTGGACATTATATACTTAATTCTTACTTCTTTATTATTCTGAAGTTAGCTTGTTTTTTTAACTTAATTCTTGCGTCTTTATATCGCTACGGTCAGAGTTTTTTTTTTTTTACAGTTAATTTTTTGTCGGTGTTTTTTTTACTTAATTCTTGCTTTTTCATTACACTAAAGTCAGAGATTGCATACTTAATTCTTTCTTCTTTATTATGCTATTGTTAGAGTAGTTTTAACTTAATTCTTGATGGGTTTTATGCTTAAGATAAAAATTTGATTAATTATTTATTCTTTATTATACTGACGTTATTTATTTTTTACTTAAATCTTTCTCCTTTATTCATTTATTGTTCATTAATCTTGTACCGTGTGCCCCTCTTCCCTGCTGTTCTGTAACCGGTGATGCAACACTGACATTTCCCCGCTGTTTCAAAGTCAGGTATCCCAGCTTTAAAACCCACCGGCAGTAAATCTTTCCTCTCGGCTGCTTCTCACCTGTCTGTGTTTCAGGGTCCAGCGCACACGGCACGGCGGGCTGAACGGGAGCGAGCGGGGAGACCGGTGACACCTGGGCTTCTCCGGATCTCACTGCTGCACGCACACACGCACACACACACACACACACACGCACGGCATTGTGGGAAATAAAGCGGTAAGCGATCTGTCACGCTCCTTTTGGTTCTTCAATAAACAGTCGCTTTGTAATTAACGACAGCGGAGACATGGATCCAGTTCAGTCTGAGGTTTAGAACTTGGGCCTGCAACACGGGGCTGCACATGGAGGAAGTAAGTCAGGTTTATTTATATAGCGCCTTTCACAGACCAGAGCCATGATGAGACCAGAGAGGGAGAGGCCAGAGAGGGAGAGGCCAGAGGGAGAGGCCAGAGGGAGAGGCCAGAGGGAGAGGCCAGAGGGAGAGGCCAGAGAGGGAGGGGCCAGAGAGGGAGGGACCAGAGAGGGAGGGACCAGAGAGGAGAGGCCAGAGAGGGAGAGGCCAGAGAGGGAGGGACCAGAGAGGGTGAGGCAGAGAGAGAGAGAAGGAGAGGCCAGAGGGAGAGGCCAGAGGGAGAGGCCAGAGGGGAGGGCCAGAGGGAGAGGCCAGAGAGAGACAGAGAGGACCAGAGAGAGACAGAGAGAGTCACAGAGCGAGAGAGAGGCCAGAGAGGGAGAGGCCAGAGAGGGAGGCCAGAGAAGGAGAGGCCAGAGAGGGACAGAGAGGCCAGAGAGAGAGGCCAGAGGGAGAGGCCAGAGAGGGAGAGGCCAGAGAGGGAGGCCAGAGAAGGAGAGGCCAGAGAGGGAGAGGCCAGAGAAGGAGAGGCCAGAGAGAGAGAGACAAGAGAGAAAGAGGCCATAGAGAGAGACAAGAGATGGAGTGACAAGAGCGAGAGAGAGACAAGAGAGGGAGAGGCCAGAGAGAGACAACACAGCGAGAGACCAGAGAGAGAGGCCAGAGAGAGAGGCCAGAGAGAGAGACCAGAGAGGGAGAGACCAGAAGGAGAAGCCAGAGAGAGAGACAAGAGATGGAGAAACAAGAGAAAGAGACAATAGATGGAGAGAGAAGAGATGGAGAGAGAGACAAGAGAGAGAGAGACAAGAGATGGAGAGACAAGAGAGAGAGAAACAAGAGATGGAGGGACCAGAGAGGGAGAGACAAGAGATGGAGAGACCAGAGAGGGAGAGAGACAAGAGAGAGAAAGAGACAAGAGAGGGAGAGACCAAAGAGGAAGAGGCCAGAGAGAGAAACCAGTGACGGAGAGACGGAAAGACCCGAGAAGGAAAGACCCGAGAAGGAGAGACCGCCTGCCGTCTGCGGAGCTAATCTCTCTAATGGAGCCACGTATGATCCCAAACTATTAATCAGGCTTTGATTTTAACGGCCCCATCACTGTTTTAATCGACCCTTTTTTACGACAGTCGTCGAGAAATTCATGGGAAAAGCACCGTCCAGAATTCTGACGGATGTGGAGGATGTGGTGGGTCTGATGTGAATAGAGCCGTAAAAGTATGAATGCTTTTGTTGTTTCAATTCAATTCAATTCAAATAACTTTATTTATCAGTGAGGAACTTCATTTACAGATGAAGCACCAGTGGGGTATGTAAAAACCACAGAGAGAGAGGGAGGGAGAGGCCAGAGATAAGAGAGAGAGAGGCCAGAGAGAGAGAGATGAGAGAGAGAGACCAGGGAGAGAGAGAGAGGGAGAGACCAGAGAGAGAGAGATGAGAGAGAAAGAGAGAAGAGAGAGAGACCAGGGAGAGAGAGGGAGGGAGAGGCCAGAGATAAGAGAGAGAGAGGCCAGAGAGAGAGAGTGATAAGAGAGAAACCAGGGAGATAGAGGGAGGGAGAGGCCAGAGGTAGTCAAGAAAGAGACTAGAGGGAGAGAAACGAGAGAGAGAGAGACCAGGGAGAGAGAGGGAGGGAGAGGCCAGGGAAAAGCGAGAGAGAGAGACCAGAGAGACAGAGAGAGAGATTAGAAATAGAGAGAGAAGAGGGAGACCAAATAGAGAGCCCAGAGAGAGTGAGAGAGAGAGACAAAAGCAAGACCAGAGAGGTAGAGACCACAGTGAGAGAGACCAGAGATGGAGAGACCACAGTGAGGGACCAGAGATGGAGAGACCACAGTGAGAGAGACCAGAGATGGAGAGACCACAGTGAGAGAGAACAGAGATTGAGAGACCACAGTGAGAGAGACCAGAGATGGAGAGACCACAGTGAGAGAGGCCAGAGATGGAGAGACCACAGCGAGAGAGACCACAGTGAGAGAGACCAGAGATTGAGAGACCAGTGAGGCTCAGGAAATGTACGGTATTTTTATATTTGTTTGGTTGGGTTTACTGATATTAGTTGAAGTCCAGTATATGTGGTAGCAGTAGAAGCAGCAGTAGTAGTAATAGTAGTAGTAGTACCAGTAGTAGTGGTTGTAGTAGTAGTAGTAGTAGCAGAAGCACCATCAGTAGCAGTAGTAGTAGTATTAGAAGTAGTAGTAGTAGTACCAGTAGCACCATCAGTAGCAGTAGTAGTACTAAAAGAAGTAGCAATGCAGTAGATGACAGTAGTATACGGTACAATACTGCACATTTTGGAGTATATATATTGGTACCACACTTATCAAAGTACATATATTGGTACTGCACTAGCACATACACACAGTCTCACACAGAGACCTGATACTGTAACAGACCCGGCACAATTATCAAATTAACATGTGTGAATAAATGAGTCCATAAAGTTTAATGACCGGCGCTCTCCACGGCGCTCTCCTCGGCGCTCACATCGGCGCTCCTGGGAACCGTCGCCTTTGTCCTGACACGCGCTCGCGGACCCTCCACCGGCGCGCTCCCCATAATCAGAATCATCATTACCTGTGGCCCCCGATGTACCGGGCTTTGAACCAGCGGCCGGTGTCTCCCAGGCCCAATTAGAGACGCCGCACCTCCAGCCTGACTTTCAAACACGCCGCACTTGTCCTTTAGGAACATAAAAAAAAAGAAAAAAAATCACCTTTAATTTGAAAAAGAGACATTTGTGTTTGTGAAAAAGGCACAGTTGGGTTTTTCTTAACTAGCATTTCCACATTTACAAAACTACTAAAATTCCCAGGATTGTCGTTTCGTTTTCTCTCATTTAAACCCAAAAATGATTCGTTTTTCGACAAATGTATTAAAAGTAAGTAATATATATGTCTTTTTTTACCTTTACTCATTTTTGCTAAGTGTTAAAACTAGTGAATATGACTTAAAATGCTTGAAATGCTACCAAATGCTAACAGTTAGCAAGTCGATATTATGTTGCTATGGTAACAAGTACTGACTCGACTCTAAAGAAATTGTCATAAAAATTAATGAGGCGTAAAAATAGACAACACATAGAGACAGAAAAAGTCAGAAATACCAAGAAAGCAAATGAGTAATTACACTTGAATAACTTAAACTCCGTTAAATGAAAATGACAAAAAAATCCCCAAATTATTTAGTTCTCCACCAGTATTATTTAAAGTAACTGATTTATATGTATTTTACTTTTACTCACTTTTACTAAGTACAAAAACTGGTGACAATAATTAAAATACAGCTAAAATATAGTTTGCAGTTAGCCTAAATGCTAACTTTTGACAGTAAAAAGTGTGTTGCTATGGTAACCAGCACTGGCTCCTCTCTGGTGGAAGATCAAGTAGAACCAGACCCAGTCCAGGACCAGTCTTAGATGAATAAAATTTAACGTTAGCATAATAAATCTCTAGCTTTAGCATAATAAAGAAGCAAGTATAACATCTCTAACTTTAGCATAAATTAGAAGCAAATCTAAAATAAAATGCTAAGCTAACGTTAGCATAATCAAGAAGCAAGTATAAAATTGCTAACGTTGGCATCATAAAGAAGCAAGAATAAAATCTCTAACTTTCACATAATAAAGAAGGTAAAGTGACTAAGCAAGTGACGGTGGACACATGGACCCAGGACCAGGACCAGTCCAGGAACCATGAAAACTACCATAGAACGTCGGTTGCCAAGCGACCAAAGTAGAATTTTCCGAGGATTTGAAGGTAGAACTCATGTTTTAATAATGACATAGAAATAAATCACAAACAAAAACAATCACAAAGTTCTGAAACCAAACATGCACATTTGCCGAGTCACAGAATCAAAACCCGTCAGTTTGACTGCTGTGGGAGTTTTACTGTTATCTCGGCGTGCTTACGTAAACAGCGTCATCCATCAGATTGGGGTGAGGGGGGGGGGTGAGGGAGAGAGGGGGGAGTGAGGATGGGATGGGGGTATCAGGGGAGAAAGCGCGGCTTGTTTGCACACTTAAGGAAGACATGAAATAGAGTGTCCTTAACTTAATCACCACCTCTTTCCGCTACATTTGCATACATTTGCATATTAATTGGAGCCGGCGATTAAAAATGGGTTTTGTAATTTTAATTAAGTGTCCACAAAGGTATATGATTAGCAGCGTTTAAAACAGCGGCTGACATGGCAGCACAGAAGGGGATTATTTTCAAGGAAAGTCGGTTTTATGATAGCTGTTTTTTTAAATGGATATGGGACAGGAGGGGAGGGGTGGGGCTAATGTTGAGGGAGGGGTCAGGGGTGGGGCTAATGGTGAGGGAGGGGTCGGAGGTGGGGCTAATGGTGAGGGAGGGGTCGGAGGTGGGACTCATCAGGGTGTACATTTACGAACAATACTCAGGTCTAATCATCAGGGGCAGGTTATGTACAAGGTTTAAAGCCGCACTAACTGACTTTGGGATTTTAACCCTAACCCTAACCCATGGATAGCATTTTTGTAATGAATACAAAAATAAAGTCAGTTAGTGCAGCTTTAATGGAATTTCCATGTTCTTCCGCTTTATCCGTTGCCGGGTTGCGGGAACAGCAGCCCAGACTTCCACGCACTTTTTCCAGCTCATCAGGGGGAATCCAGAGGCGTTTCCAGGCCGGCTAAAAGACGCACATCCCTCCATAAGTCCTGGGTCTTCTCCTGGTCCCATCCCAAAAAAGATTCTCCAATGGGTCAAAGCTATTTAGTCTATTTAGAGCTTTCATTTCTTGTTCCATTAGAAAAATATGTTTTAAGGAAATAAAAAATGTGCACAAATCAAGATACATTCTTCAGAATTTTTGCCATTTTTGACTTATTTTTTGTTACTTTTTGCAGTGCATGCAGGTGTCCAGGAGGCATCCCAAACACATGCTGTGCCCCTCCACTGGCTCTTTATCCTCTCCATGTGAAGAAGCAGCGGCTCTACTCCAAGCTCCTCCCCTGTGACCCGATTCCTCTTTCTATCTCTAAGGGAGCACCCAGCCACTCGCACGCAGCAGTTCAGAGGGTTAGAAAAGTGTATGTAAAGTGTGTGGTGAGGGTTTTACCGCCTTAAAACACAGAGCTGCTGCTTCAAGGATTTCACTTTAGCGCGGGTTCATTTTAGAACACATCACCCCTGCGATAAACCAACCCCGCTGCACTTGAAATGATCTTAAAAACCTGCAAACATTGATAGAAGGAGAATTATATGGGCGACGATTATACTGTGCACAACTCTCTCAGAACATGGAGTTTTCATGTTCTCTCTGGGTCTGCAAAGGATTCCTCCAGGTGCTGCGGTTTTCCTCTACCCCTAAACAGATACACAACAAGAATAGGGTTTCCGGGTTACACAAATCTCAATAAAAAACCTCAAAACAATAGGACTAAGAATACGAACTGTATCTGCTGGAGAGGGGCTGCACACGGCAAAAAGAGGTCGAGAACCGCTGCTACCTGCGTTTTTTTAGGATTCTCTCCCGTTTCTTAAGTCGAGAAATGTGTTGAGATGTCATGCCACATGCAGGAGTACACACAAATCGTCAGCTACGAAGTATTTGGGTTGTTTTCTCTCTCTTACGATAGGCGTGGGGGGAGAGAGGTCAAACAAACAGGGACCAGCTTCTCCGGTTTTTTTTTTTATATATTTTTTTTTTTCTTTTTCTTCCTGACGCAATTACAGCCAAGCCCTGGTATCATACTGGGGACTTTCAGAAACGTAATATTACCTCATTTGGTCTTTGGTGCGGTCGGGGAAGGTTTTGGAGACACATTTGGAAGCGTTTTTCTCATAAAACGCTTAACCGTTTAAGTGATAGGATACGGTTTCTATGGGCTGTGTCGCCGCTGCCAACCGTAAACCAGGGAAAGATGGTGGAGCAGGGTCCGTGTTTGTCCAAGAAGAAGAGGAGAATTCTGGGAAATGTTGAATTGTTGCATTGTTTTACCTAGAGATATTGGCTGAAGTGGACCTGATTTTCTTTTGGGATTCGGAAACATCAAAAAATATCACAAGAAATATACAAACAAATGTCTTGGCTCGAAATAGGAAAAGAGACTGATTCAAAAGGTTTCATCCAGGGATAAGTTTTTGATTGTTTCCTCATAAAAAAACAGCCCAACTGTCTTTTTTGCTTGTATTGTTAGGGCTGCTATGGTTTCCTATATGGTGTTTTTCAGCTCATAAATCCTCTCCAGTTCAATTTGAGGTTGTCACACTAATTACAGTCATGGGTCTCTACAGTTTATCTATGTACATGGGTCAAAAATGCACACAATTCAGAGAATACAGATTTCACTAAAGCTTCTGCACTTTTTTTTTTATTACATTACAATTTTCTTTTTTAGTCCCAACAGGAAGTGTAGTGTCAGACCATTAGTCCTGGTCTCTGGTCTCTGGTCTCTAGTCCCTGCACTGGCATCCTGTGGCTCAGAGAATGGACTTTAAAGCTGCTCTGCTCTCCATGGCCTCGCACCAAAATACTGTACATCTGTGACATGTTAGAGCACAGGGACTGGCCTCCTGCTGGGACTCCGAGGAGCACAGGGACAGGCCTCTTGCTGGGACTCTTGAGAAGCACATGGACTGGACTCTGGCTAGGACTCTGAGGAGCACAGGGACTGGCCTCTTGTGGGGAATCTGAGTAGCACAGGGACTGGCCTCTTGTGGGGAATCTGAGTAGCACAGGGACTGGCCTCCTTGATTGAAACTTCACTGCACTTTGATTATTTACAATTTGACCATTTCTTTTATTGTTTTGTTTTGCCCTTTGCTTTGTGTCGTGTATGAACGAAGCTATACAAGAAAAACTCGCCACTCCTTGCATTTTCTCGCCTGTATAATCCAGGCCCGGTCCATCAAGCGACCGAGACTTCTTGTTGGTGAAGTACCTTTGATCCGGTAGTTGACAGTCACCAGCCCATCCCCAAAAGCCCTCTCTGGGACCGGGGCATTAGCTCTCTTAGCTCGGCTTTCTTCCCCAATCCCACTCCTCCCTCCGACGCCGCAGACTTAAACTGCAGCTTCTTGAGTTACTAAGCCGCCGTAATAGGTACAACCTGCACCGCCCGTGTCCTCAGCCGGGTTACCTCTGCACTGCAAAAACAAACGCCCTGGAGTGTGTAAGTGGTTACAGTGGGTTTTAAAGCTGGGGTACGTAAATATTACCACTTCTCGACAGAAAGAGAAAAATGTCAGCTGTCGTCATGCTATTATAAAAAAAAAAAACATGCTATCGTTTGCCTACTTGGACGAAAGAACCCTGCGGCCATTGCATGTATATAAATGGACAATGCTAACTTGCGAGCTCAATGAAGCCCATTAGGAAAGTGCTCATGGTGAAGTTTGGCTCCAACTCGCTCTGGCTCATATGTGTATGTTATATGTATGGGTTGAAAAATGGGTGGTTTAGCGCTCTTTGTGATCATTCTTAGTAAATATGTCAGTATTAATACATTCATAATCATAAGGCACGGGTTTAACATAGCGCTTTTTGGACGCTTTTTGCCATAGCAACCATCTTAGCAACATGTCTGCCCCTGTCACGGCACAAAGCTAAGGCCACGGGAGAAATGGCCACATGATGAAATTGGCTCCAGCTAGCTTATGTTCAATTCGGCTTCTTCACGGGAAAAAAAAAATCTCGGCAATGTTGGTTTGATTGCAAAAAAAATTCTCCAAAAATCTTTCCGGAGAAATTGGTTGATTAGAAGTCAAAACCCAGTAAAAATGGAAAGAAAGAAATCTAGAGCTATTGCCTATCTGTTTTGATTTACATTTACTTTTCTGCTGCTGTATAGTATAGGTGTTGCATGTTCTCCCTGTGCGTGGGTGCATACAGGACCAGCGTATGCAGAGAAAGGCAGACTGACAGTGGTGATTTTTGCAGTGTGATGGGAGGATGCAGTGGTCTGTCACACGCCACCCCGGCTCCTCAACAGCCTCCTCCCTGCGTGCCAGAGATGCAAATGTGTTTTCTATTTCTTCCTTTGCTGTTGACATCAAAATCTTTCCAACCTCGGGCCAGCCTCCCCAGCCTCCTCAGCCTCCCCAGCCTCCCCAGCCTCCTCAGCCTCCCCGGCCTGCCCCAGCCTCTCGCCCTAAATCACAACAGCAGTCGCCTCGGAGGGCTGTACAAAGTTGTGGATACGGCGACAATAGATCAGAGAATCAAAGAGTTCGAACTGATGTAATAGGGAGAGGGGTGACCAGTGTTCCGGAAGATTAGACTGGATCTACAGCCTCAGTCCTGGATCTACAGCCTCAGTCCTGGATCTACAGCCTCAGTCCTGGATCCACAGCCTCAGTCCTGGATCCACAGCCTCAGTCCTGGATCTACAGCCTCAGTCCTGGATCTACATACTCAGTCCTGGTTCTACAGCCTCAGTCCTGGTTCTACAGCCTCAGTCCTGGTTCTACAGCCTCAGCCCTGGATCTACAGCCTCAGACCTGGATCTACAGCCTCAGTCCTGGGTCTACAGTCTCAGTTCAGCATCTACAGTCTCAGTCCTGAATCTACAGCTTTAGTCCTAGGTCCACAGCCTCAGTCCTGGGTCTACAGCCTCAGTCCTGGATCTACAGCCTCAGTCCTGGATCTACAGCCTCAGTCCTGGGTCTACAGCCTCAGTCCTGGATCTACAGCCTCAGTCCTGGATCTACAGCCTCAGTCCTGGGTCTACAGCCTCAGTCCTGGATCTACAGCCTCAGTCCTGAATCTACAGCTTTAGTCCTGGATCTACAGCCTCAGACCTGGGTCTACAGACATCTTCATATTTCTGGACGGGGATCCTTCCGCTCTCTCTGGACCAATGGCTCTTAAGTGTTTGTTATTATTGCATTAGAACTGTTTGATTCTCTGATCCGTTGTTGGCGAATCCAAGTCTTTGTAATCGTTGAACAAACCTTGAGAACGCCCTCTCTCGAACCACCGCCGCCACCACCACAGCATCAAGAGACATGTTCAAACTAATAATTCATCATTTGTTGTTTTTTTGCCACACTCCCACACACTGGAGCCAAAAAAGGAGGTCTGTACACAGAGACGAGATGCCACCTCTCTCTGAGCCGACGGGTGCCGAGTACAAATCACACTGTCACACTACATAGGTGGCACGTTGATGAATCCCGCGCACTCACAAAGGCCTAGCATTATCATAAATAAAATGGAGCACAAACAGCCTATGCACGCTAATGGAATTTGTCAACATGAAAGAAGTGTTATTGAGCCTCTCTCCTCTCCTGCCAAATACTGATCCCGTCTCTGGTGAGCGTTTAGCGTTAGCACGTGGCCGCTCTCGGGAATTGCACAGTTTAATGAAATTACCTCCACGCGCAAAACAAACAGGGTCAAACTCTCA